ATATGTACATAAACTAGGACAGGAAAAATACAGGCAAAAGTGAAATTCATAATCACATTAGATTTTTGATGTCTCAGATAACTGGAGTTTGTTTAAATATTATTTTAAAAAATATATTTTTATTGATTTCAGCGAGGAAGGGAGAGGTAGAGAGAGATAGAAACATCAATGATGAGAGAGAATCATTGACCGACTGCCTCCTGCAAAATATCACGTGTGGGCATGCACGTACAGTGCGACTGAAATTTCGTGGCCCATGCACAGAAGCCGGTATTTTGTGGAAGAGCCACACTCAAGGGGCCAAAGAGCCGCATGTGGCTCGCGAGCTGCAGTTTGCTGAGCCGCAGTTTGCCGACCACTGTGCTAGGGGAATACACTGATGATAATTATCAAATTAACAATTTGAAAATTGCAGGTATTTTTAAATATTAGCTAATATACAAAACTTCTAAGAGGAGAGAAAGAAAATTTTTATCAATCATGTGCTAGGTTCGGTGAAATGTGTTTTCACATTTATTTTATGTAATACTATAAGTAATTATCACAATAGTCTTGATTTTATCACCATTCAAAGCTTAGTAAGTGCCAGAGGCTAGATTTGAATTCAGACCCAGTGGTCTACTCATATGACCAAAAGAGTTCTCTGTCACTGGGGATGTAGATACAAGTGCTGGTTCTGTCTTGGAAAAACAGCATTTGGAAAAGCTTTGAAGGTTGGAAGATATCATTCTTCATAGCATCAAAGAATCTCAACTATGATAATGAGTACCTGTTATTCACATCACATGTTTGAGAACAGAGTCTATTTCTGACAACTGGTGTAGAAACATTTGAAGTCTGGAATTTTCGCTTGCAACAAAAATGGAAAATTAAAAATGTAGCCTAGCTTCAGTGGTGGTTGCATATTTATGATTTTTGCATTTTTCTATGTATATATGCTACTTCAATTTTCCAAAAGTTTATTTTTTAAAAGACTGGTGAAATAGTCCTTGTAGATAAAACAGGGTATATTTGAAGTCTGCATAAGCTAAGCAAGTTGCATGACCACCTTCTGATTCTTTCTTTTTTTTATCTGTGAAAAATAATGATAATGGAATAAGTTGCCATTTTCTTCCAAGAGATATGTTTCTATATCTTTACTTGGTCAGTACATGGTTGAGTTTCTAATTTAGGTATATTTGCCTCCCATTTCCATGGTAAGAAATTAAAGAAAATGTTTCTTTCATTCCTGTATTTTAAAGCAAATTTTCTGTGCTACTCAGAGCCTGCCAGTAACTCTCTCCCAATTCTACCTTTTTGCATAATCTCAGAATGATTTACAGAAAACAAATACCTTGCTGATTCCCTCAGGTTTGGCTGGGACAAATGAATCCATAAATGTTGTGGGACAATAGGAAAGGATGTTGAAATATTTGTAGACTTTTAAAATGAAAATTAGCATGGAAAAGAAGTTATTTTACTCCCTTTCACAGGAATTATCTTTTCATTTGGGTGTAATATTCATCTAGAACTTGACCTCTCATTTGTTTGGCTATCCTGAAAATAAGGCACAAATTGGTCAAATAGAAAACAGAGTGAAGGCATATACATACCAACAGTGGGTCTCATAAAGAATGTATCAAGTTTAATAAAAAATAAATCTTAAACATTTAAAAAGATAATTTATTGAAAATATGGAATTGGGAAGAGCTCAAGTGGCAGTGTAGTTAGGGTTCCTAAATTCACCTTTGGAAATACAGTCTTATTACAGGTGTAAGCTAAATTATATCACTATATTACTTCAGACTGCAGTCTAATTTGATTAGCTCATTTCATGAAATTCTTTTTTTCAAGATGTTATTTTGAAAATTTTCAAACCTACAGGAGAGTTACAGAATAGTACAATGAACACCCAACACTCCAACTTAATTCCACCAGTTAATTTTTACCATATTTCTGTGAGTGCTCTCTCTTTATATGTGTGTGTTTGCTGAATCAATTGAAATTAACTTGCTGATATCACCCCTAAGTACATTATCAGGTGTCTCTTTAGAACAAGAACATCTCTTATATAACCACAATACCATCCCTGTACACAAGACATTTATCATTGATAAATAACAGCATCTAATATACAGTTCATAATCAAATGTCCTCAATTGTCATACTTTCTTTAATCATTTTTTCTGGACAAAGAATCCAAAGATAAACATAATCTATTTAGGAATCATGTTATCTTTTAATTTAGAATATTCTTCCTCTCCTCTTTTCTATCTTTCATGATATGGACATACTTTGAAGAGTCCAGGTCTGTTGTCTTGTAACATGTCTTACAATCTATATTTGTTTTCTCATAATAGTTAAAGATGTTTGTAGGAAAAAAATACATGTGTACGTGCTGTGCATTCCTGTTGTTTTCCCCATACATGTTATACTTTCCCATTTCTGAGACGTTGTTCACACAGACCGTCTCTTTAATTACTGCCCTTCCCCCACCACATCTTCACAAGGCTCTGTTCAATTTTTAATCTTGTCTAGGTGATTTCCCTAATGCCTCCATCCAGAAATAAGCTTTCAATATCCAGAATACTTTAGCTTTTCTTTTCTTATTAGAATTTACAATTTTTTTAGTTTGTATTATTATTTTTATTTATTCACATTTTTTTAAACCTTCTCTCCAATGAAAAAGGCTCCTAAGAGCAGACCTAATGTATTTAGATTCCCTGGACTCTAGCATGATGGTTCACAAAGTAGGCAATCAATATGTATAGTTGTTGAGTGAATGACTAGATGGATGAATAAGTGAATGAAAATATTATCTGTTTTCTGAGACATAGTGAGTTGGTTAAAATGTTTCTTTAAAAGGTTAAAATAATTTTTCATAAGTGTACTTTCTGCATTCAGAATAGTCTACTTAATTAAGACAGTAAGATTTTAGTTTTAATAAAAATAAAATATGTATATTATATGCTTTGGTATAAGCTGTATTGAAAAGCAACTTGCTAAGCGTTGAGAGAAGCCTTTCAATCTGGACAGTTCATTCTTTCAGTTTGGAAAATAGTCATATTATTTTTTTGAGAATTTCCTCTTTTGCATTTTTCTATTCCCTCTGGAATAAAGAACTATGTCAGACATTGAAACTTCTGGATTGATCCTCTATAACTCCTATCTTTTCTTTCATATTTTCTATCTTCTGCTTTCTAAACTATTTCCTTCCAACCTATTATTGATCTTTATTTAAAATTTGGAAGTCATGTTTTTAATTTTCAGAAGTTTTGTTTTTTGAGTGAGTGGCCTTTTTAATAACATCCATTTACTGTTTTATGGATGCAATATCTTTTCAAATCTTTGGAAATATTGATTAAAACTTATTTTCTTCTGTTCCCTGCACTAACTCTGTTTAAACTTTAAGTGTTCTTATTTCTATCTTGGTCTTTCCCTCATTTACATTAAAGGCATTTTAAATATTAAATATAGACATCTCTAAGTGCTGAAAAGCTGATTGGAAACTCTTGTGTATATGAGCAATGTTTGCCAACTGCCAGGATGGCTATAGGTTACTTGAATGTTGAGTTAGGCATTAAAATGTGAAAACTCCCAAATGCCAAAACATGGAGGTCTCTTTTTCTGACATCATTCTATTTCTTTAGAAAAGAACCATTCAATTTTTTTTTTTTTTTTTGCCTAGGGAGTAACTGATTGAGAAGAAGTGTGGTTTGGCTTCACTGTTTAATTAAATGAAACTTGGCCTTTTAAAAATCCATACTCCGGCATGAAAAAAATAAATTCTATTTCTGAGAGCTCTGAGCGCCAGGATCCACGCATGCCTCAGAACCTCTGAACCAGTGACTTCAGCTCATCAAAGAAAGTAAGACCACAGATCTTTCACCTTCCAACTTCTCTGGGCTCTCCTCCAATCACATAACAGATGCTAATGTTATTGAAGCTTAATGTGACTGCATCCAATCCTGCTGCTCTATAAAACCCCTTCTCATTCGTCTCTTTTTCTGACATCATTCTATTTCTTTAGAAAAGAACCATTCAATTTTTTTTTTTTTTTTTTGCCTAGGGAGTAACTTATCATTGCTGAAATGTCACTCAGCAAAGGTGTGTGTGTGTGTGTGTGTTTTGTTCCTGATTCAGACTTTTAGCTGACCCTCTATGTTTTTAGTCCCTCATCTCACTCCTTCCCTCTGTAACCTATGAATCAACATCCGAAGCCTCAATTTCATCCTGTTGCATCAGTTACCACTCATCTCCCACCTATATTCCATCTGCCAGAATTTTGTTAAAATCCCTCACCCTTTGATGGACTCTCCTGCCTTTTTGTTATGTGTTTACATGTTCTTTTTATTTTTATTTCACCATCATTTTGGTGGAATCTTGAGAAAGAGAGGAGATAAATACAAGAAAATATGTTTTACGATATTGATTCCAAATAAATCAATTTGTCATCTTTAATCAGACTGTGTGCTTAATTTTAAAAGTGTTTGTGTGCCAAGCTTCCCCCTCTGTAAATCTGGTCTTATGAATAGTGTAAGTTTTCTGCCTAGAAGATTAAAGAAGTGATTCTCTATGTGATTATGGGAGTAAGGTCCAGACATCCTTGGGTGGTTTCAAGTTTCCTACTGAGTAATCTGGACAAGGGGAAAGTACTAAAGATACTGCATAGGGAAGTATGAGATAAACTCTCTCTTTATGACTTCATAAGGCTGGTTACTTATTTGCTGCTGGGATAACATAAATGGTCAAATAATTGGAGAAGTTCTACAAACCGCTTGTCAAGTTAAGTTTTATTCTTCCGCCAACTCTTGCTCCCATGCATGTCTGAACCTCTGGTTACCTTTGATTTCTAATACCTGGAGGAGAACAAGCTGCAGCATCAGCCAGGCAGGCCCCTCCTGAGTCCGACTCACCCACATACTATTTCCCCCTTGATTGACTATGGCATTGGCTGGTTACTCACACCAGGGATTCCCCAGGATTGGTTGGAACTGCAAACAAAACACTGTTTGCCCATCATCAAGCTGATAAGCTACAGTATAAATACACACAAGTTCCTCTTCTCCGCATACAATGGGAAGCATTTGCTCTCTGCTCTCCTCCTAGCATGTTCATGCAAGACCCGGAGAAGAAACATTGTCTCTGGCCAAAAGGGGATTCATGAAAAGCTTGAAATGGGCCTGTCCTGTTCTAAAACCCCTAAAGTCCAGCAAGCCCAAATTCTTCTTCTGGGCCTGGACTCTGCTGGCAAGTCCACTGTCCTCTACAAACTGAAGCTGGCTAAGGACATTGTGACCATGCCAACCGTGGGCTTCAACGTGGAGATGCTGGAGCTGGGCAAGAGCCTGTCCTTCACGGTCTGGGATGTTGGCGGCCAGGAGAGGATGAGGGCCGTGTGGGGCTGTTACTGCGAGCGCGCCCACGGGCTGGTGTATGTGGTGGACAGCACGGACACGCAGCGGCTGGAAGCCTCCAGGAGGGAGTTCGAGCACATTCTGAAGAATGAACACATGAAAAATGTGCCGGTTGTTCTGTTAGCCAACAAACAAGATAAGCCGGGGGCTCTGACCGCCGAGGACATCACGAGGCTGTTCAAGGTGAAGAAACTCTGCAGTGACAGGAACTGGTATGTGCAGCCCTGCTGTGCCACCACCGGGGATGGGCTGGCCGAGGGCTTCGGGAAATTAACCGAATTCGTGAAGAGCTACATGAAATCACGAGCAGACACGTTCCCATTCTTCAAGCAGAACTGAGGTCCAAGCAGGGGAAGACGAAATTGAAAGGGTAATTTTTTTTTTCTCTCCATGCCGAGTGAGAAAAGAAAGTTGCTGAGATGGCAAACTTTTTTCCTGAGATGTTATTTCACCCAAATTAAGATAAACAACTCATAATAATAGCTATAAAATATTACTTTTGGCTAGTCACTTTAGCAGACTATGGTAATAATAATTGAGAATGAAAAATTTACTATTTTGTGCATGTTGAGTGGTTCAGAATAATTATATTTAGGACCAAATAAATTATTACTTTATTATTTTTATATGACTACTAAGTAAACTGTCTCCTATAATAGAGCCAGCATTCTTTCAGATTGTTTTCAGCTGTTTCCACCACACTCCTATGTAATCGTTGGATGGTGTAAAAAAAAAAAATCAACTTTAAATTATAGAGAGGAAAGAGTTTGATGTTACCATTTTGTAAATCCCTATCTATTCCCTATATAAAATTTCTCTTCTGGATTCCTGCCAGCTTTTTGAAACCTATTGCTGGGAACTGTACAGTGAATCAAACAATGAACTGGTAATTTACCAGAGGCTGTGTTCCCTCAGAGGTGGCAGAGTTTGTATCTTAAAGCTCTGGGGATCAGGATAACACCTTAGAGTTTAGGGCAAGGCCTGGGATTTAGCTGCAGCACCAAGACCGGCTTCAGTATAATTTAGCAAAACAATCATTACTTGAGAACTATGAACAGCTCACTGTACTGATTAAACAGGAACTAGAGCCAGACTTTGCTCTCAGAGACCTTGCAATTCACAGGGGTAATGACATAAAGCTAATCGCTAGAAGAGGACAATGAGCGCTATGTGATATAACAGGAGAGACTCTTTCTGACCTGGAAAAACAGGAAGTGCTTCATGCAGGGAGTGGTATTTAAGAGGGCACCCAACTCCTGGGGACCCCACAAAGTTACAGGTTAGTCACTGGAAGTTCCCACCATGAGGAGACTCTGTAGAGATGCCATGGGGGGAGGGCAGGAAGAGTGAAGGAACTAGAGATTGAATTGGAATTCCCCTGAGAGGCTCAGAACTCCTAAGGAGGCCCTGGTACTAACTCTTTCCTCCTACCCCACCATTAACAAGGCTCATTTGGACTAGAAGAAGGCTTCAGACCTCCATGGCAGACCCTGGGACTCCACATCTTAAGGTCACAGAGAGAAACAAAGGTATAATAATAAAATAAGGGTGCCAGGCCCTAGATTCCTTTCTTGGTTTTCTTCTCTCATCTTGGCCATGATTTGTTTAGCAAAAGATCTGAGCAGCTACTTTTGTACTATGTGGTAGCAATTCAAATAATAAAGTAGGCATACACATAATACTAGTTACCATTGGTTGAATACTTGGGTGTGTTCTAAACCCTTTCATACATCTTCTCATTTAATGTTCATGACTGCCCTGAGAGGAATAGGAGTTACCTCAATATTACAGATGAGAGTACTGAGACTAAACAAGGTTAAACAACAACAACCACACACACACACACACACACACACACACATACACAAAAGACTTAGTATTTTAACTAAGGAGTGGCAGAGCCAAGATTCAAACTTAGCTGTGTCTAACTTCAAGACCTGTGCTGTTAATTGCCATGATATTGTTTTGTAAGTCAGGTTTGGTCTCTGTCTTCAATGACCTTACAACACACAATTAAGAATAAAACCAGGCTAAATTAAAAATAGAACTACCATATGATCCAGCAATCCCACTTTTGGGTATATATTCAAAAAAATGAAATTGCTCTCTGGAAGAGATATCTCTCCTGTCATGTTCAGTGCAGCATTATTTACAGTAGCCAAGACATGGAAACAACCTATGTGTCTGTTGATGGATGGATAAAGAAAATGTGGTATATACACACAATGGAATTTATTCAGCCACAAAAAAGAAGGAAATCCTGTCATTTGCAATGACGTGGATAAAACTGGAAGGCATTATGCTAAGTGAAATAAGCCAGACTGAGAAAGACAAGTACTGTAACAGAGTAGATTGGCGGTTGTCAGGAGCTGGGGGAGGTGGGAGGATGGGGAGAGACTGCTCAAAGGCATAAACTTTGCATAAGATGGGTAAGTTCTGAAGATCTAATGTACAGCATGGTGACCATAGTTAACAATACTGTAGAACACACTTGAAATTTGCTAAGAGAATACATTTGAAGCATTCCCCCCTCCCCACACACAAAAAAGTTAACTATGAGGTGATGTTAATTAACTCAAGTGTACGAATCCTTTTACAACGTATATCAAATCATCAAGTTGTATACTTTAATACACTATTATATGCGAAATATAAAATACATTTTGTCAATTATACTTCAGTAAATCTGTGGGAGGAAAAGACTAAATCCAGGCCAACATATGGTGTTTTAATAAGAAATTTCTTTGAAAAACAAGCCAGACAAAATAAATTGAGTATAATAACAGAGATATAAGAAAAATGCTGAAAGATTGTGGAAAAAAAAGAGTTTCTGATTTTAGGAAGGCCTCAGGGTAGTAGCAATATTAAATGCTTAATAGCAGAGTTTTCCCAAAATGATTAAAACCTCAAGAAATGCATCTTTAAAGAATATGCATCATCCCTTAATATTTTCCCTATGTGTTTTTTAAAAATCTTAATCTTAAAATTAGGAGTCACTAATTTATGTCTATAGAAAATGTCTAAATAGGAAACGTGTCCCAGTGTCCTGAGATTTTGGTAGTTTGAATTGTCAAGTCCTTTGTGGCCCAGTCTTAGCATAATATAAAATTCAGAGAAAACTGTCCTAAAATGTTGAAAGCCAATAAAACCTTCACTTCAGAAAGCTCTAGGTGTGTGTGGTGGGTGTAGTGGACAGATGCACTCTTTAGAGCAAAACTTACAAAGTAGCTCTTTTCTATCTGTCATTTCAACATCCCTTCTCCATACAGTGGCTATTCCTCAACATTTTTACTAATATTTTCTCAGAAACTTGAGCACTTTCATTCCATTTCCCCTTTCTTCCCTGAGATCAAATTTATTCTCTTCCATCAGTCAATTGCTTTCTTTGTAATGTAAATTTCACCAATCTTTCTTTGGTATGTCCCTCCTGCTTTCCTAGTCTGTTCTCCTCCAACACACACACACACACACACACACACACACACCCCTTCACTCTGATCTACGAATAAAGTCCCAAACCGAGGGAAGAGGAAAAGGTTAGGTAGACAATAGCAAAATATTGCTTAGCAGTTGAGAAGAAAGAGGCTGTGAATAGTCATGCCTTGATATTTATTATTGTTATACATTTTATTCTTTGTTATCTATATGTAATAAAGCAAAACTTTAAAAAATATTTTTTATTGTGTTTTGTTTTTAGAGAGAGAGGAAGGGAGAGAAACATCAATGTGAGAGCAAAACACTGATCAGCTGCCTCCTGAACGTTTCTACTGGGGATCAAACCTGCAACCCTGACAGGGAATTGAACCTGAGACCTTTCAGTGCATGAGATGATGCTCAACCAACTGAGCCACACTGGCCAGGGCAAAGAAAAAGTGTTAATTTATCCAAATAAAATACTGACATGGATCTACAGCAATCAAAAGCAGAACACTTCTGAAATGTTCCTTGTTTAAAGATTTAAAGAGCCTGAAAGGAAATATCAGTTAAGTATTTCTAGCTAAAG